GATGTTTGTAGTTTCATTTTCAGGGTATGGGTTTTTTTTTTTTTCAGCATACATTTATATTCAAATAGCATGCAGTGCCAAGTTCGAGGGATGCTTGAGAAAAAGAATTTTCCATGTAAATTTGAGCCCCAATTTCTTGCTGTCTCATGAGAGTTTTATTGCTAGGCAAATTGTTTGCAAGAACAAAATAATAATGTGTGCAGTTTGAACAAAGCGGTATGTGGATTTAATAGAAAAGACCTGACGGAGGGAATGTTGTTTGCTTGGTTGCGGCTTAATTTAAAAACCCCTTTGTCTTCCACATGTAAAACTTTAAAAGCTACACCTGCTCACAACACACAGGTTTCTGGAGCGTAAGAGCTTCTTTCTACTCTTTGTTAATTAATTTAATTTTTTTGTTAATTCAGTTGTGTGTTTTGGTACAAAATTGTGTGTGTGTTGCTGTATCACGTACGCCAGGCGTGGTTCCTTTCAGCCAGGACAGCCTGCTGTAGAGGAGCCCTGCGGAGAAGCACACTTCAAAGCCTACAAGCTCTTCAGTTGTACGTGTGTAACTTGTTCTGAGCGTGATGCTTTGGCGTGTTTGCATGGAGTGATTTCCTGTTGCAGATGTTGCTCTTCTAAAATCCAAGCCCGAGGTAATACAAGATATTAATGCTATGAAAGAGCATTTGTGTTCCGGGCTTTTTCGTTGCCTTACTACTGTTCTCCTGATTGGAAGTTGTAATGACCTTGTGTATAAAGCCCCAACAAAGTAATCTTTGGGTAACACACTTTCACCAGAAATTTTAAATCGGGTTGAGTCAAGCTGGTTTAGCTGCTGATGGTGTGAGATACACGTGGCTTTGTAGGAAACTGCCTGTATTGTGTTAGGGTTTTGGTGTGATGACCCTCCAGGGATCAGTGCCTGGGGTGTGCAGGTCGGGGTGCAGTTCTGGGGTGCCTGCCTTGCCGTGAAAAGCTCTGCCAGAAATGCGTAGAGGTGTAAGCTCTTGGGGGAGCTTGTGCTTTGTGTTAAGAGAGATCTGTTTCCAAGTCTTGGCGATTTGTTTTAGAAATTAGGAACTGGCCCTCTAAAAGGCTTTGTGCATCTCGTTCTCCATGAGACTCTTGTTGCTATAGCTGAGTTTTCATTGTGTGTATCCAGCCGACTGAGTTCTGCCAGTCTCTGTGATGCCTTGTGTTACTGCCTGATCACGACAACGCTCTGTTGCACAGGTAATTCATTGGGAAAAAACTTCTGCTCTGGAATTGTTGGTCACCACTAAGATTTCTGGCACGGCACCCTCTCGTACTTCAGCGCTTTGAAGTAATCGCAGGAGTAAGCTTTAAAACCTGCTCTCTGTGCCGCAGTCCAGTAATACTGCGGCAGTGATGGCCGTGTGTGGTGCTCCTTCCCCATCGTTCATTCCCACTGGCTTGGTTGTACCAACACAGGTGATGGCGGTGCCGCTTGGCAAACTGGGTGAAACGGCTCCTTGCCCTTTTCCAGTGTGCGGTCACCACTGAGGAGGCGGTGCGCTACCTGGGCGGGAAGGGGAAGCGGGGATTGGCAGTGTCTGGAGGCATCCCGCTGCCGGGGAGTGTGGCAGTGTCTCAAAGCAGGGAGTGATCTGTCCTGCTGGGAGAGCATCTGTAGAGACGGGGGCAGTGAGTTCCAGTAGTGTCTTCAGGTGGAAGAGTGTTACGATATTAAAATAACATCCGCTCTTCTGTGTCACTGTTTGCTTGTAGCACTTGGACCCGTTTCGTTCAGATGTGTTGTGTTGTAGGCGGCCAGTGACAGTCTTCAACCTCTGTTAATAGCATCATGCTAAAAATGTCTAATTTGTAATGTTTTAGGTAATTTTTTATTAAAAGGGGTTTCAAGTTTGGGGTTTGCAAAACGTAAGAAATCTTTTTAAACCTCTGATTTGACAGAACTTGCCCATTTTTTTTACCTTTTTTTCTTTTTCCCTCCTAGCCCTGTTAAATGAGAACCTTGGTGCGACTGTGCTGGAATAATACATGCCGTCCTGCTGTCAGCTTTTGCTGGTCAGTGCTGTTCTTCATTTCACCGATTACCTTTATGATATGCAGTTGCACATACCGCTCCCTCTACATTTGACTGGAGCCTTGAAAGGGGATGTCTGGTTGTTTTTGATGTATGGTGAAACTCGTGTGTTTGCTTTTCTGCCAAAGCTCAAAAGCGCTTGCCAGATTTCAAGTGATTCACGGTGTTTCAGAAATGTAATTACTGCCGTTTTCACAAAGGATAAACTGCTTCTGCATCTTCCTCCTGCTTCTTTTCCTCGAATTATTCCCCTCTAATGTCCTGCTGGGTCTTTCTGGAGCAAGGTTTCTGAATTGCTTCCCACCACTGGTGGGTTTCAGCGGTGCGTGTGTACTTCCATCCATACCTCCATGCGCGCTGTATGTTGTACGACCACAGTCGGTACCGTCCCGACTGCCTGGTGCAGCTTTGCGTCAAAGCTTAAGGTGGCCTATTTTCACTTGGTACAGAAGAACCGTGTGTGCTTCCAGTGGCAAGACAGAAATATGTGTATACAGATAAAGACTTTGTCAAAAAGGTCAAAGCTGAGGCTGAAATGGTAATGAATTGTTGATTTGTTTGGATGGTCTTGAAGCGGAAGTTGGAGGTAGAGGGTTTCGTGACTTCTCTTAAGTGAAGTATGTCGCTGTTGCTCATTTTCATGTTCCCTTTGCTATTTTGGTGGTGCTGGAGCCGTGATCTCTCTGAAATAGGCACTATAGTTCCTCCCACTGTTTGTTTCTTCTGTTTGAAGCAGCGTATTTGCTGCTGGTTGCAGGTTGAGGATTACTGATAGTACCTCAAAGGCATTTGGGTGAGAAGGCAGACGCAAGTTCCTTCTTGTTCAGACGAGCTGTGGAAGCTCCAGCATACAACAAAAGTACAACGACTTTCTCCTGCTGTTCATTTGATGAAGGTTGAGAATGAATTGAGTTTTAGGTTTGATGATTGAATGGATACAGCCTACTTTTCACATATCAGGAAAGGGATAGGGAAGCCTTTAAGTGTCAGACATCTGTAACAATTCCCCAGTCTGCCTAGGAAGGATGTTTGATTGTTGATCTTTTACAGCATGTATTTTTCTAGTGGTCAGTGTAAGCTTTCTTTATTGTAGCTAAAGCCTATTAAGTTCCACTTGTTCTGTCACAGATTAGTGAGAATAATCTGTTCTTGGCTTGTTTAGAAAAATTCTGTATGCGTTCTAATCTGGGTACTATGGCTAGTTATATTTCAACAGACGGCTTTTCTTGTTCCTGCTCCTTTGTGAACCTGGTGTCCTTGGAATAGTGTAGTTGCTTGAGGTCTGATTGATGCTGAGTTGAGCCAATTATTGTAATAAACAGTAGCAGTGCAGCCCAGCAATGGGTATCTTGGTTTATTATATAATTTTTGGACCTTGCTTTGTGGTAAAGTCTTCAGGCTGTAGACTGAGTAGACAAGGAATGTGTGTCTGGAGGGGGTGCGTGTACAGAGGTGTGTGTGTGTGAACCTACAAATGACAGCATCTTGTTACAGGGTCTGAGGTCACAATCCCTTTCCACTTGCAGGACTTGTCCCTTTGCCTGTGGGAAACTGCCTGGCAGTAAGGCAAGACTGTGGGAATTTGGCTAATTTGTACTTACATGGCTGGAATGCAGCCAGTTGTCACTGAGCTCTCCACTCCTTGCATCTCTGTTTCACTGTTGTCTTTCCTAGCCTGTGAGCTACTCATGATGGCTTTGGAGACACTGTGCCTGTCTAGCTGTGATAAGAAATTGTTAGCAGCATTAAAAACACTTGCTAAAGCTTACGTTTAAAATGTCACTGAGTGTGCTTTTCCTAACTTTTCCTCCCCTCTTCCCCCTTTACTTTGTGCAGGTCTTCGGCATTAAAAACACTTGCTAAAGCTTATGTTTAAAATGTCACTGAATGTGCTTTTCCTTACTTTTCCTCCCCCCTCTGCTTTGTGCAGGTCTTCATTTCTGGGTAAAGAATGCAGACTATAAAGTGCGTTGTTGTTGGAGATGGTGCTGTGGGAAAAACTTGTCTTCTCATCAGCTATACCACCAATGCCTTCCCAGAAGAGTACATCCCTACCGTGTTTGACAACTACAGTGCCCAAATGACCGTTGATGGCCGGACAGTTAGCCTGAATCTCTGGGACACTGCGGGCCAGGAGGAATATGACCGCCTGCGCACGCTCTCCTATCCTCAGACCAATGTGTTTGTCATCTGCTTCTCCATCGGCAGCCCCTCGTCCTATGCGAATGTGAGGCACAAATGGCATCCTGAAGTTTCTCACCACTGTCCAAATGTTCCCATTCTTTTAGTGGGCACGAAGAGAGACTTGAGAAATGACCTGGAAACAGTTAAAAAGTTGAAAGAGCAAAGCTTGGCTCCCACTACTCCGCAGCAGGGGACTTCGTTGGCTAAACAAATTGGAGCAGTCAAATATTTGGAGTGCTCAGCGTTGAATCAGGAGGGTGTTCGGGAGGTGTTTGCTGAAGCTGTGCGTGCAGTTCTGTATCCTGTGACAAAGAAGAACACAAGAAAATGTGTCTTATTGTAGTTACCTCGGGTGATGGATGTTTGAAGTTGGACTAGAGCCTTGGAGGGCTATTTAATGAGTTAAATTGAAGATTTGCATCTTGCACTAACAGCTCTAAGCAGAAATGGTTTATGCAACAAATATTCTTGCAGTCTTATTGCTTCAGGGAAACTGAAACAGAACAGTTTGGTGTTTGGGTTTTTTTTTCCCCCAACTGAGAGGTCAAATACCTACTTTATTTCTAACGTTCCAGTCTCCAGTTTCTCCAGGGATTACTTGGCTTCTGTCCTTATTTAGTGGAGGAAAATAAAATAAGGGACTTCTTTGAAGCCAGACTTCTTTACTAGATAGCCATCGGATACTAGATTTGCTGAAAAGCACAAATTCTGATAACTTTGCTTTAAGTGCAGCTGCTGCTTTTCCCATCCCTTATTTACTGATTGAATTTGTTTTACCAACAGAAGTCTGGCTGTCCAGTTGTTCTTAATTTGTCAATTTAAAGCTTGAAAACAATTTGTTTACATGCAAAAAAATGCCTGAGATTCACCTCCTAGTGAACTGTGATCATCTCTGAGTTAGCATAAGGCATGTCTAATGCAATGAGCAAGACCCAGGGAACACCTACAGTGACTTTACCAATAGGAGCAGGAGCCGATTTCTCCTAATATAAGGAACTTTTAGGATAACGATGAATCATTCAATTGAGGGATTTTCATGCTTTTGAATTGGAGAGATGGAAGTAGTTCAGATGCAAGTCTTCCAGAATCTTCTAAACTGAGTTTTTTGTTTCACTGTCCAAAGAGACGCTGCACCCTGAGACTAAAGTTAACGGTTACCTTCTCGGACCGACTGAGGTAGTTGGGATGACACTTCTCAAAACAAGATTTCCAATGTGATTCCTTCGATGAATCCCAGAGACTTGCTGGCAGCCTGTTTGCTCTTGACGAATTAATTGCTTTACTTCTTAATGTTCTTGGGGCCACCACCTGAGATTTTTACGGCAAATTCCTTTGTTGTTTTTTCTGGGAGAACACTGACAGTAAATTTGGAGGTTCTGTTTACAGGAACCCGCATTTCTTCCTGGCAACTCACTGATGGTGTCAGTTGAATTTGTAATGGTTAGCCAGTCACTGGGTAGGTTTACCTGGGCAGTTTTCTTCTCTCTACTAGGTGATCAGTTGTTATAAACTCTTCTAACTGAAGTTCTATTTACGTACTTTTTAACTTTTCTTTAGAAGCTCTAGTGAGTGGCAGCTGGCTTTTATTTTCAGGATGTGCACTGTTCTTTATGTGTGATTCCGGGACCAGCTGAGGAGAGAGCGCATGAAACCTTCCTTAGACTTAACCTTACAGCTTGGTGGCATGAAAGCAGCATGCTTCAAAGATACTTTGTGTGAAACCAATGGTGCTGAACTGGGCTTTGTTGTCTGAAGTTGACAGTGCTGTCTTTGTCCGGATGCAGCCTCAATTGGTAATTCAGAACTTGCTTTCTTGTGATTCCCACACATGCAGAACTGCACTGGTGTATACCCTGGGCAGGAAAAAAAAAACGCCTCGTTTTGGCAAGATAACAGAAAATACATCAACGGGGTTATTCGGGACCTTGTGTTAATTTGACCTCGTTTTATCTGATGCGGGCAGAAATACGAGGTGGATAGAAACATTTGTATTTGTGCCCTAATTCCCCTCTTCGAAGAGGATGTGCCTTTCTTCAGCTGGTGTAACTGATGCTGGCGCTGACTGTGGGTTTTGTGCCTCTGAGTTACTGCGGTGCTGCCTTAGCAAACTGCGACCCGTAGGTCATAGGCTGCAGTTAGTCCGAATACTGGCCTGTGTGGCTAAGCAATGCCTAGCCACAGGCAACCCCAAAACCCCCGTTATGCGTGGTGGTTGCGGGAGCCTAGAGACTCTGCCTGTTTTTCTTCACCAAGTGCCACTGCCTGGAGTGTCTTTGCGTCTTTTGCACTTGAAGTGCTGTTCCAGACGGGGCTCCTCCCGCAGCGCCCTGCGGGCTGCGAGGGCGTAGGAGTATTCCAGTGAGGTAACCTTTACTCGCCACGTTCTGCCTCTACGTAAGTAGTAGGCCTTTAGCGTGGGCTTGACTTGCAGGCAGCAATTAACTCTGTGCCTTTTAATTCAAGATTTTTTTTCTGTAGGTAAAGTCCAGTAACTGAGTAAATACAATTTATCATAAAATGTATTTATTTAAGCCAGTGCACATTTTTTTTTTTTAATGCTGGTCAGGCCTAAATCAACTGTCTAGTTACCCTGGTGCGAGCCCGTAACCTTTGCATCGTTCAGAGATGTACTTCAAAAAGTTTGGGTGTGTTTGAACTGCTCTTAAACAGACTTTTAATTTCGACAACGGGCACCTCTTTTTTTGCTATACATTTATTTGCAGTTTTTTACTGAAGCTACTACTGTTTTTAAAAGTTTTTAATTTTTTACATAGTGAAATATTTTAGTTCTACGTCTTTAGTGCTTATTCCTAACTGGATTACAGTGATTTTGTTGAGAAGAAATCCTCTGAGCAAGTATTATTGCACACATGGCCCCGTTTCCGCAGGCTCACAGAGCAGCCATCCTGGTGTTAACTGGAAGAGTATGGTGAGAGAAAATTTAACTACTTAATCGATTTATTTGAATTGATTACATTCTGCTAGAACACTTGATCCCCATCTAGGTTAGTTAATAAAAGGGCTGGGCAACAGCAGAGAGAAGAATAACATGGTAGTGATGAAAATGAGCAGAAAGTGAGTACAGACAAAAACTCGTTACCCACTTTGCCGTACCTCATTAGTAGTCCTGCAGATGACTCGTGTTTCTGCTGCTTTCTGCCAGGAGCAAAGTGCTGCCGGCTGACAGCTGGCTGCCCCCAGCCTCTGCTTTTCATGAGAACGAGCCTCAGGAGCACACGGATCCAGCTTCTCCGCTCAGTGGGCATTCCCAGTTTGTCATCTTCCTTCCTTCCCCCCTCGTTCTTGGTGCATTTTATTGTGAGTAGTCCAGTGCTTCAGTCTGCAGCCCACTCCATTCCTCCCACGTGGGTTGTTCCTTCTGCAGGCAGGTGACAGATACCAGTCCCACCGTTCCAGCTTGTCTGGTTTTGGGAGGTCGGAAACCCGGGTTAAGCTTTGCAGGTTTCCCGAGCTCTTCAAGATCCCTCAGTTTGTGACTGAGCAGAAACACGGCGTGTATGTCGTAACTCACGGAAGAGACTCTCTGTGAAGAGACCAATTCTAATCTGTCCGTTTGTGAGTGATGATTTATTTTTAAATACGGCTGAAGCCATCCACGGGGAGCTGAGCAGTTCAGGAATTCCGTGTCCAAAGGATGTTCTGAGGCACGCTTAGGTGTACAAGTGCTTTCTCTGGTTTACAGCTGTAGCTATTTCTATGAAAGTTAAACCAGAAGAGCCTCGCCCTGCTTTGTCCGGGTGCTTAAACCTTGCTCTGCCGAAACCTCGGGGCTGCTCGGGCTGACCCTGCCGAGCAGATGGATATCCCGGGGGTCCCGACCCTGGGGTGGGCTGCGGGGAGCGTGTGGCAGCCCAAGACTCTCAAGTGTGGTACTGATACATATACACTGGCAACTTGATTTTCTTTTTTTTTTTTTTTTTTACTATAGAAGAATTTGTATTACCGCTAACAGTTGTAAAGGATTTTTTTAATTTAAAATTATGTGGAATTAAGTTGTAATAAACCTTTCCTCGTCCCTCTGGCTCTCGTATTAACTCACTGCTGTTTGTAACGCGCCTCTTCTCAAGGTAGTTCTTTCCTGTGGAAAGCCAGACGCCGTTTCTTCAATGCAATAAAGGAATTTTGGGCGAACGCCGGGGCCTCAGCGCTTCCTTGGGGCGGGGCCGCGCGGGGGCGCTGTGTGCCGGGGCGGAGGCGGAGCCC